TTTTATTAATATTATTTATATTTATTTAATATTTTAAATTTTTTATATATAAATTTTATATATATTTATTATATATAATATTATATTATTATAATTTTATATTATTTTATTTATTTTTATATTATATTATATTATATAATTATATTTATTATTAAATTTTATATTATTATTATTTTAATTATTTATAATATAATATTTTATAATTTTATATATATACATTATATGATATATATTATTATATTATATTATATTATTTATTATATATTATATTATTATATATAATTTTAAAATATTAATTATATATTTTAATTTATATTATTTATATAAAATTATATATGGTATAAAATAAAAATATAAATACATATTATAAAAAATTTTAAAAAATAATATAAAAAACAAACAAAAAACAAAATACAACCAAACCCAAAAACACCCAAAACGCCCCATTAGCCACTCTCCCCCCATCCCATCCACAAAACCCAACAAACCTAGCGAACTGGCTGGTTTCAAGTTGCGAAGACACTCGTGGTAGTGGTATCTCAAGGATTAATTTCAGCCTCATCCTGTTTGAATACCCGCCTCAACAAGCAGTCTATATAGCAATGAAACCACGAAACAAGTGGTTTTGAATTATTTACCAAACTGCGGCAGGCCAGGGTTCGACCCCACGACACACTGTCCTGCCTCAAGAGACCACACAATGTATATGTGACACGTACATGTTTCTCTGTCATGTAAGTCTCTTAAAATATTTCCGGAAACAACAGCATGTTAGACTGATAGTCTTATCTGTCCAAGATTTCATCATCAGTGGGATATTCCTAAATGTGTGTCCTCACCTATTTGTGGTTGCAAGGATCGAGTCTCAGCTCTTGTTTCTGCCTCATGGGGTCCTGTCGTACCTATTCTTAAGACTATGAACGTATCCTGCCTCCATCACTTGTTCCTCGAGATCATTCCACTTTGTGATTAACCTGAGGCTGAAGAAATATGTCCTAATACTCCCGTAACTTGCGTGTCTGTGTATTCACTTATTTGTCCTCTCCTATTTGTGGTTGCAGGGTTCGAATCACAGCTCTTTTCCTCTCCTCTTTGCTGGTCATTACTAGGTCCACTCGCCACCTGCTCCAAGAGCTTTATCGTACCTCTTCTTAAAGTTATGTATGGTCCTGCTTCCTCTACACCACTCCAGAAGCTATTGCTGTGGACAGGATTCGAACCTGTGCGGATAGAGCCCAATGGATTTCACGTCCCTCTCCTTAACCACTCAGACACCTCGTGTGTGTGTGTGTGTGTGTGTGGTGTGTGTGTGTGTGTGTGTGTGTGTGTGTACCTGTGTATTTGTGGTTGCAGGAGTTGAGTCACAGCTCACTGTCATTCACTGTATTACTCCATATGTGTTAATATTCACAACACGACAAATATTTCTCTATATGTACCTGGAGTGTTGGGTAAGTTGTCATAATCAACCACAGAAGGAATATTTACCCCATATTCTTTACATGTACGTTTACAACACTGTGTACATTAACAGTGAGTATGCATGTGTATACTTATACATACTTGTGCTCATCTTATGTATATATGTATCAATATGAGTGTATGTTATAGGGCTATAGGACCCAACATGTATTTATGTATCTAAGTAGCAGTTAATCACTTTGGAATACCTAATTATACTGAACTGCTGGGGGCACAACTGCTTTAATTCTGTCATAAGAGCAGATCATTCTTGTGAGGAAAAAGTACAGTTAAGCCAACCCTGTTTTTTTTTAATATAATAGGTTGTACTATAGACACACACACAATTAAAATAAGTAGTTTATAAAGTTTGCATTTCTTTTTGTTACAAAAAACGCGATTTCTAATAAGCATAGAGATCTCCAGTGAATACTAGAAAGGACTGCCCTTCTAGCACCCAGCCTGTTACTGGGTTGTCGTAACAATTAGTCAGTATCCTGGTCCAATTATCCATTAGAATTCAATAAGAATTATTAGTGTTTCAGGATTACAACTGGTAGGCTACTAACTAGAGAAATTAAAATTTAATAAGTTTATTAATAAACAAAATTGTCTAGGAGTATATTATCAAATTAAAATAAATTAATCAATTTAAACAAATTAATAATAATCACTTCTCTCGTGTACAGTAGTATTGTGCTGAAGGCACATGTCACATTTATACATCTTAAGTACCGTCTGGTATATTAACATTTAATAATTATCCCTTTACCAGGCCTGGGAAAGGGTAATCACCCCTTTACCAAGAGTGGAAAAGGGTGATCACCCCTCTCCAGGCCTGGTAAAGGGCTTTATTAATAATACAATATACAAATAAGTTTGTTTGTATGTGTGTAAGTGCTCTAAGTAGTTCGCTATGTCTCACGACTCGACTAGACTTAAACCAGTGACTGACAAAGTCCTCACATCGACTAACTTCTTGAACACCTGGCAATCAAAACAGCTTGCTTGAACAATAAACGACCGCTAAGCCCAATAGCAATATAACAAGCAACTGCGACACAGAATCAGGAACAAGGAGATAATATAACGACACTAAGTAGGGACCATCAGCAGATCCTCCACAAAAGTCACAAAACTCCCATACTACTGAATCTAAGTTCAGCATAAGAAAATCCCCGACTGTGACAGTACACAGATACCAGTACAAATTAGGTCAGAAGCTACAGCTCAGGACCTGAGTTGCTCAGAGTGTCTATGACTCTATGTGATACACAACCTCAGTACAACGTCGATAATCACTAAGTCTAGACAATGTTCTGTGAACAGAGTTCCACAGAACCTACAACAATAAAGCGACAGAGACGATCTTCTAACAAGGGTCAATAAGGGAGAGTTAGGCACGTCTTGTCAGGAATATATCCAACTACCAAGAGAGTCTAGCCCAGACTGACTACTCCAGGCGAGGTATGAACATCCCCCTCGATCACGTGATTGCTCCGTGGACAGTTGCTGCCCAGCAACACCGAGAAGCCGGCAGAGTAACGAGCCACGAGCGATAATTACAGTAGTTAGACAATCAAGACTTGAACTATGAGCACATAATAATATATGAATGTTACATCCTACTTAACAGTATAATTAAGTCAAATAATAATATAAAACAATATATTTACAATTTAGCTATTATCGCAAATATAAGCAATATAAAATTATATGAAAAGGTAATATACATTATATACATTGTGACCCATTCAGGGGTCGCAACACTTTTTGCAAAAGTAAAATAAGGTGTAGTAATGGGAAAACAAAATTATTGTAGTAGCTAAAGAATTGGGCTTGTCGACAGTCTTTTTGTTTGTTTTGGTGGGTAGGTGGGAGGAGCCTAGCTGGGTCTCTCTCTCTCTCACTCTTGTTGTGGCCCCCAAGCTGGGGAGGATCTTCTCCTTGTTTATGGGAAGGATATGAGTGCCCCAGAGGTAAGATTTGTACTTGAATATGTAACCATTATACCCAGGGTGACTACAGTGTATCAAAACACTGGGTTAAAGTCATCAAGAGAAAAGGAATACTAATTGTTTCAGATGGACTATGTGGCTGTCCTAGCAGAGCAGCTATGGGTGTGCATGCTTGTGTTATGAATAGGAGAAGGCTAAACTTGTATATTCTGTATATATCTGTCTAGAATATATTCCTATTTTTGTAATAGTAGTTTAAATAACCTGTTGATAGGGTTGGTGAAAAGATTTCAGAGATTGAGGATGACGAATCATGAATGTATTACCCTAGACTTATAAGGCCTTATTAAAGCTATCCCCACACTAGAACATGTAGTGAGAACCATCAAAGTAAAAAGGTAAAACAGTGTAATAGTTTATGTGTGATATATTAATATTGGGTAATGCAGCACAGCCTTACAAATCTTTTCCTGGGTCAGCTTATATTCAGTGGATGTTGCTTAGCATAAGTAAAGCAGAGTCCACTATATGGCATGGCTGGTTAATTAATGTTGTTTAAAGCCTCTCGACTACGCGAGGGTCATTATGGCTGCAGGTGACCTGTTCCCCACCAGTCAAGAAGACTTAGATCACTAAAGTAAGGATCACTAGACTCACGAGATCATAATGACACGATTGCAAACAAACTATACCACGGGCGGGGATAGAACAGTCAAGAGTTTTGAGACTCTCTGATCGCGGGTTCTATCCCCGCCCGTGGTTTGGTAAGTAAGGATAAATGTAACCTCAGTGTATATACACTGACCGTCATACAGCTCTCAGTGTATGAACTCTCTCCTGCAGGACTTTAGAGATTATCAGCATTTTTGTTGCAATCATTTTGCTTTTTGTGTTCACTTTTAATTTCTTATACCCAGCCAAGGTAATCCACTAGCGTTTGCAGCTTTAGTTGAAAATTGTATAAAACACCAACAAGTTAAAGATTAAGACACATATAATCAGCACTTGGGTATCTTTCAATAAGCGTTAAATTCATAAAGATACCCAACTGTTGCACATGTGTCTTAATCTTCAATTTACAGCTTTTATACAGAATGTCCCACAAAAAAGTGTTACCAACCAAGAGTAACTATGATAATGTCCACTGTGTATAAAAGTTATCTATGTATCGGTCAGTTGCAATTTGTCACAGGTACTAGTCGATATATACTTGGCCCATTTTTGTGTATGCGTGTGTGTGCTTACCTGTTTGTGGTTGCAGGGGTCGAGTGACAGCTCCTGGACCCGCCTCTTCGCTGGAAGCTAATAAGTCCACTTTCTCACTTCTCCATGAGCTGTATCGTATCTCTTCTTGAATCTATGTATACATCCTGCCTCCACTACATCATTCTCCAGATTGTTCCACGTCCTGACAACTCTATGACTGCAGAAATACTTCCTGACCGTGCGTGTGTGTGTGTGTGTGTGTGTGTGTGTGTGTGTGTGTGTGTGTGTGTGTGTGTGTGTGTGTGTGTGTGTGTGTGTGTGTGTGTGCGTGTGTTACTGAAAATACATACACACAAGGAATACCTGTCATTACAGGTGGGTGGTGCCGGTGGGTGCGTGCTGGTACAAGACCTGACTGAAGCTTTACAGGTGGGTCAGGTCAGCAGGCTGGGTGCTGACAGTGGACCTTACCGGTGTAATGTTTGCAACCAGAACCTCGCCTCCAAGTACTCCATTAAGACTCACCTCAACACACAGAAACACCAGAATAAGGTACTAAAATACGCAGTAATCCCACGTGCACAAAGCTCGCGTTAAGAGGCGCGTGAGTTACCCTCACTTCTATTACCCTGCTTATTTTTCCACTTATTTTCCACTTTCTGTATAATTACTATCGCATTTGCTTTGTCTGCTTTCGTAAGTTGAAGTTTAGGATCTTTCCTTAATTCATGGTATAACTCAGGAAAATTTTGAGGACAGTTGTGTTACACAAGTCTGAGCATAGCATATATATGTGCAAACAATCGTAGACAGGCCATGTTAACAATGCAAGACAAGCTACTGGGAGGGGGGCAGGGGGTGGAAATCTTTAGCTCAAGTACTTTCACACTTTTTGGAGCATCATCAGGAGCTATGCAATGTTGTAAGAGTAGCAATAAAAGAAATGAGGGGAAGTTTTCTCAGTGTGTGGTAGCGTAGGTAAGCTGTGGCTGGTGTCATCCACGTTACCCTACGATGAGAAAACATCCTCTCATTTCTTTTATTGCTACTCTTATAATATTGCATACCTCTTGATGATGCACTGAGAAGTGTGAAAATACTTCAGCTAAAGATTTATTTTTCGTTAGGTTCAGAATTATTTTTGCGAAATTATTACATACATAAATATTCACTTGCCTTATTCGGCAAAAAGATCGTTGCTATTAAAGACAAAATCGCAAGTTTTACCTATTCGGCATGACATATATATATATATATATATATAATATATATATATATATATATATATATATATATATATATATATATATATATATATATATATATATATATATATGTAACAAAAAAGGCACAATACCGTGACTGGAACGATACACAAATAACCCGCACATAAAAGAGAGAAGCTTACGACGACGTTTCGGTCCGACTTGGACCATTGACAAAGTCACACTAACCAGACGACGATAGGACTGACAGGTAAGGACCCACGAGGGGCAAGTGGGGACAGTGCGAAGAATAGACGGTGAGAGGAATGTCTTAAGTCGAAGAGAGAAGAGTCAGGACTAGACCCAACTGCTAAGCCTGGATAAACAATAACGAAGACGACATAGAAGACAGCAGGACTCTGCGGGTGCTGACTGCAACTCGCTGGACGGAAGATTGCTGCATCTTGATGTTGATTGGCGGCTGGCAGAAGCTAGAGGTGTGGTCAAGGGAGGCTAGCTTCTTGATTGGTCAGGTGTCGTTAAAGTGTGAGTCAGAAGTTACTGCAGTTCTTCAGTGTTGGAGGCATTCCTTATGTTGTGCAGTTGTTGGAAGGAAACGATGAGTAGTCTTGTAATCTTGGGTCGAAATGCTGGGTCGGCTTGTAACTGGTCAAAGGTCATCTTGAGTGTAGTGAAGGAGCAGTGGGATCCTCTACGATTTGTAAACTTGACTGTTCTGTCGTGTATTTTCTCGTACAAAGTGTCGACATTCATGGTGGGTTCTTGGTCAGGAGTCGTATAAAAAGTTATATCTTTCCAGTGCAGATATTGATCTCGATGTTGGTCTTCTGTATTAATACGTCGAGTGATGGCTGGAGAGGTTTTTGTTGGTGGTTGCAGCATTGAAGGTTCTTTCAATGTTGGTGTCTCAAACACTAACCAGAAGTGGAGCAGGACGGCTATATATAGGCAGGAAGAGGTGGTGGTGGTGGTAGTAGTAGTAGTAGTAGTAGTACAAGAATGGTATATAATACCGACAAGATGAAATTAAGACACATGCGCAACACCCGGGCATCACTATCGTAGACGTTTCGCCATCCAGCCAGCCACTGGATGGCGAAACGTCCACAACAAAGACAACCAGACGCCGCACATGTGTCTTAATTTCATCAGTAGTTGTAGTAGTAGTAGTAGAAGAGGCTGGCTGGATGGCGAAACGTCTACGATAGTGATGCCCGGGTGTTGCGCATGTGTCTTAATTTCATCTTGTCGGTATTATATACCATTCTTGTACTACTACTACTACCACCACCACCACCTCTTCCTGCCTATATATAGCCGTCCTGCTCCACTTCTGGTTAGTGTGACTTTGTCAATGGTCCAAGTCGGACCGAAACGTCGTCGTAAGCTTCTCTCTTTTATGTGCGGGTTATTTGTGTGTGTGTGTATATATATATATATATATATATATATATATATATATATATATATATATATATATATATATATTTTAGATAAGTTTAAATTTAGAAAGGATATAGGAAAGTATTGGTTTAGTAATAGGGTACTTGATGAGTGGAACGGTCTACCTAGTAGGGTTATCGTAGCTAAAACCTTGGGTAGTTTCAAATTTAGGTTGGATAAGTACATGAGGGAGAGGGGTTGGATTTGAGTGGGACGTGCACGTGAGTAAATGGAATTGCCAAGGCTTATTGCTTAGGTAGCGTTTATTCTGTTAGTAGGTTGGATTTGTGAAGGACCTGCCTAGTACGGGACAACAGGCCTACTGTTGGGAAATAAACATGCAAGCTCTGTAATTTAGGTTATAATATTCGCCACATCCTCTTTGGCGCGGATGCGGATGCAAATGCGGATATATATTTAATTGTGATTGCGGATGCGGATGCAGATGCAGATATCTTATTTAGAAAAAATATGGATGCGGATGTAAGAAATTGTGCTGATGTTCCGCGGATGCGGATACGGATATCCGATACATCCTTAACACACACACACACACATACACATACACATACACATACACACACATATATATATATATATATATATATATATATATATATATATATATATATATATATATATATATATATATATATGTGCGTGTGTGTGTCGTGCCGAATAGGCAGAACTTGCGATCTTGGCTTAAATAGCAACGCTCATCTTGCCATATAGGACAAGCGAAAATTTGTGTTTGCAATAATTTCGCCAAAATCATTCTGAACCTAACGAAAAAAATATATTTCATTGTGTTTGTTTAGTATTAAATTATTGTAAACAAATCTAAAATATATTTAGTAGGATTAGGCTAAAATAAATTGCTCTTGTTATAATAAGGTTAGGTAAGTTTTCTAAGATTCTTTTGGTGCAAAATTATAAATTTTTCCATTAACATTAATGAAAAAATATATCTTTAAACGTATAAGAGAAAATTTTAGAAAGGACTTAATTTTAAATGAGTTTTCTTTTATATTTTATTTAAAACCATACACAAACATGAGGCACAAGAAAATTCAAACAAATATATTACACTGATTGAAAAATCCTAACATCGGATATTGAAACAATAACTAATTACCATTACATTGTTAACATTATAACAACTATAACCAAAATAAACATGACTATGGTTTAACTATAACCAATACTATATCTGATGTCGAAGCTTAAACTGTCCTAAACTAGATACATGTGTATAAGTTAACAATAGTAAAAATGCAACCTAATTCTTCATCAAACTAAGCATTGTATCTCTTAATTAGCTCGAAATTGATATATGTACAGTACAATTATCCTTCATTATTTTTTTTTTCTTTCAAATTCCTTCTGCTCTGAACACAAGAAAGGAATATAGAATATGAATGGACCTACATAAATTTAGAAACCTCATATACAAACCACTACAGTAATCAGCACAGGTCTATTGATACATCCCTCTCAATATGAGAATACGTTCAAATTTTTTTTCAATAAATTACTTGCCATAAAACATTGAACAACCTTGTTATAATAAATAGTCTTGTAATGTTAAGCATTACACCATTATCATAAGTTATACCATCTACCTAAGCCTAGTATTCCTACTACAATATCATTATCGTAACAAACCATAAATTTACCAAAAACCCACTAACTATTCTAAATCATTGATGTACATATTTACAACGAACAAAAAACAATAAAATGGAAATCGCACTCTTCTCCTTCTAAATATTTCTGACTGTCAGTTCTCCTACATGTGCTAAACAAAGGTAAATATTTCTGACTGTCAGTTCTCCGACATGTGCTAAACAAAGGTAAATATTTCTGACTGTCAGTTCTCCTACATGTGCTAAACAAAGGTAAATATTTCTGACTGTCAGTTCTCCTACATGTGCTAAACAAAGGTCAATATTTCTGACTGTCAGTTCTCCTACATGTGCTAAACAAAGGTAAATATTTCTGACTGTCAGTTCTCCTACATGTGCTAAACAAAGGTAAATATTTCTGACTGTCAGTTCTCCTACATGTGCTAAACAAAGGTCAATATTTCTGACTGTCAGTTCTCCTACATGTGCTAAACAAAGGTAAATATTTCTGACTGTCAGTTCTCCTACATGTGCTAAACAAAGGTAAATATTTCTGACTGTCAGTTCTCCTACATGTGCTAAACAAAGGAATTTTAATATAAAACATACTGACATATTTAACACATTCACATCCACCTTCAATTATAATAATACATCCATTCAACCAAGAATAATACATCACCTGTATTAACTCCAAGAGTACAGAAAATTTTCCGTTAACAAATCTTAGCAATATTCATCATATTGCCTCCATCGATAAATACATTAAAAGGAAAAAAAAAAAACCTTAAAATATCAAACCTACCTACTTTCTAATTTACACCATTTAAGTTGTGCTTTACATAAGAAAAAACTCTGTAATTAAACTGAAAATAAAGATCTTTTTACCATTTACAATTGAATCAAAATCATTAAAGACACCTATAACATATTTGAATCTCATTGAAAATTTTCATCATAAAGTCCTTGAAATGATTTATACATGAAAAATAATAATATGCAACCGTAGTGCAACACATTTCCAAATGATAACTGTGTAGTTCCTGAAACCCTCGGGGCAATAACCCTATTGCCCCTAGATATCAAAACTCAATTATACATCCATAAAAACAGCTCTCCATGCTCACTCCCCATTCTAGGAAAATAGCCCGTTGTATCCCCTTACCCACTTTGCAAATCCCATAAATCCCTTAATGTGAAATTTCTATAACCCTCACTAAAATCTCTCTCCCATCTCCCTCCATACACCCCTTTATTC